CCTCCCAGACTTAGGTGATCCTCCCACCTCAGCCTCCCAGGTGGCCCAGACCACAGGTGCCCAATTGCTCCCGGCTAAGTTTTGTATTTTTTGTAGAGACAGGGTCTCACTGTGTTGCCTAGGCTTGTCTCAAACTCCTAGGTTTGGCGATCTTCCTGCCTCAACATCCCAAAGTGCTAGGATTACAGGCGTGAGCCACCATGCTCCACCAAAACATTTTAAGAAAAGAAAAAAAATCTCTTTATTTTCAATTCTGTAAAATGACACCACCAGTGCTTGCCCACAAGCTCATCTTTTTTTTTTTTTAACATAGTCGTAACTACCTGATATTCTAGTTCTTTAATTATATTTTCCAAGTTTTTAAAATCTTTTAGTTACTATTTTAATGATTACTAAAATAACATTTTGACACTTAATGCACTTATTTTGGGCATTGAGGCCAAAAGGCTGAATTACAGGAGAGATGGGGGATTGTGGGGAGAGTAAGGGTGAGTAGGGAGAGGAAGGGGGAAGAGGGGCGAGTCAAGTCACTGAGGACAGAGGTCAGAAGTCAGAAGGCCAGCGGGATCCTGGTCTCTGCTCCTCCACTTTTCCTGGGATTCTGGAAGCTATCCAGTGTCTTTCCAACATGCTTCGTTTTCTTTCTTTCTTTCCTACAGTCTTCCTTTGTGGCCCAGGCTGGAGTGCGTGGCGTGATCTTGGCTCACTGCAACCTCTGCCTCCTGGGTTCAAGCGATTCTCCTGCTTCAGCCTCCCGAGTAGCTGGGATTACAGGTGCCCACCACCACTCCTGGCTAATTTTTGTATTTTTAATAGAGACGGGGTTTCACCATGTTGGCCAGGCTGGTCTCAAGCGCCTGGCCTCAGGTGATCCACCTGTCTCGGCCTCCCAAAGTGCTGGGCTTACAAGCATGGGCCACCGTGCCCGACTGTTTTCTTAAATTGGACGGAAGTGGTTTCTCTTGGACACTAGGTTCTGTCCTCTGTCCGACCCTGCTTGGGGGTTGGGGGGTGCTGAGAAATATCTGTCGAAAGAGTTAAGGAGTCTTAAGTGATTCGAGCACTTTCCATCTTAGAGGACAGTGTGCGAGCACTCGCCCTGAGCACCCCTGCAGAGGCCTCTAGGCACTCCTAAGCAGCCAGCCTGGGCCTTCAGGAAGGTTCCCCAGCTGTCAGCAGCAGGGCCCCCCCAGGGACTCTCTTCACTTGCTTTATTTGCCGTCACAGGAATCTTCTTTCAGTTCGTCTTCCTCGGAGGCCACGCTTCCCGACTTCTCTCGCTGGAGGCTCCACACTCCACTCACTGCTGAACGGATGGCTGCCCTGTTCCTTTTGGTTCCTGCTCAGATGCCCCTTTCCCAGGGCGTCCCGAGGGCTCTCTCTGAAATCACACTTGCCCTGACCACCTGCCCCTGTATTGTCTCGCTGTTACTGCTCTTCATAGCAATAAACTATTCCTACAGCGTATGTTAATGTTATTGTCTATTGCCTCCAGTCAGGAAGTTCATGAGAGTAAAAACTTTTTATTTTGTTCACTGTTCTTTCCCCTAAACAGAGACTCCCATAGGGCTGGTGCCCCACTCACTGATTCAACAAATATTTATGGAGTCTGCCTACTGTAAAGTATAAATACGTAAAATAGTGTGACAGCCAGGTGCAGAGGCTCACACCTGGAATCCCAGCAATTCACGGGGCCGAGGCATGAGAAGCTCTTGAACCTAGGAGTTTGCGACTAGCCTGGGCAACATAGCAAGACCCTGTCTGTATAAAAAATAAAAAAGCCACACATGGTGGCTTGCGCCTGCAATCCCAGAGGGTTGGAAGGCTGAGGCTGAGACAGGAGGATCGCTTGAGGTCAAGATTTTGAGACCAGCCTGGGCAACACAGTGAGACCCCATCTGTTAAAAAAAAAAAAAAAAAAAGGAAAAAAGTTAGCTGGGCATGGTGGCATGTGCCTGTGGTTCCAGCTATTTGGAAGGCCAAGGTAGAATTGCTTGAGCCTGGGAGGTCAAGGCTGCAGTGAGCCATGATCATGCCACTGAACTCAAGCCTGGGTGACAGAGTGAGATCTTGTCTTAAAATAATAATAATAATAATGGCCCGATGTGGTGGCTCACGCCTGTAATCCCAGCACTTTGGGATGCTGAGGAAGGTGGATCACTTAAGGCCAGAAGTTCAAGACCAGCCTGGCTAACATGGTGAAACCTTATCTCTGCTAAGAATACAAAAAATTAGCTGGGCGTGGTGGCACGCGCCTGTAATCCTGGGTACTTGGGAGGCTGAGGCAGGAGAATCGCTTGAACCCAAGAGGCAGAGGTTGCAGTGAGCTGAGACTGCACCATTGCACTCCAGCCTGGGTAACAGAGAGAGACTTTGTCTCAAAAAAAAATGATAATGATAATAATAATAATAATGTGCTAGAAGGAGCTGTGATGTGGAAAATTCAGAGTAAGGCAAGAGTAGATTGGGGTGGGTTGGCCTGGGAAGGCCTCATGTAAAGGGAATATTCTGGCAAACACTTGACGACGGTGAGGGAAGAGCTATGCACCTGTCAGGGAAGGTGCATTCTGGGCAGACGGGTCAGCCAGTGCAAAGGCCCTGCGGCAGAATTGTGCTTATGAAGCAGCAAGGAGTTGAGAATGGCTGGAGTGGAGAATGCTGGGGAGAAGTAGTATTAGGAGAGGTCAGACATGAAATGAGGTAGCAATGGAGATTTTTTTACATCAGTAAAATGCACCCATTTTAAATGATGGGTTTTGACCAATGTATAAATCCATATAACCATTGCCTTGATCAAGATATAGAACATTTTCATCACCCCTAAAAGTTCCCTTGTCTCCCTGTAATCCATTCCCCAGTCTCTCATCCCAGGCCCCAGGTAACTTTGTTGCTAGAAATTCCTGTTGCTGCTTGTGAAGAATTTCATTTAAATGGAATCATGTAATACATGCCCTTCTGGACCTGGCTTATTTTGCTCGGTAGAAAGTCTCTGAGATTCATCCATGTGGTTCCAGTTATTTGGAAGGCCAAGGTAGATTTGCTTGAGCCTGGAAGGTCAAGGCTGCAGTGAACCATGATCATGCCACTGAACTCGAGCCTGGGTGACAAAGTGAGATCCTGTCTCAAAATAATAATAATAATAATAATGGCCAGATATGGTGGCTCACACCTGTAATCCTAGCACTTTGGGAGCCTGAGGCATGTGGATCACTTAAAGCCAGGAGTTCAAGACCAGTCTGAAGTCCTTTTCAAACCTTTTGTTTGAATGGCGTGATCTCAGCTCACTGCAACCTCCACCTCCCAGGTTCAAACTATCCTCCTGCCTCAGCCTCCCGAGTAGCTTCCATGTGGGTTTATGAACGGTTTCTTTGTTTTGCTGTATAGAATTCCATTGTGTGAGATAGCACAGCTGCTTTACCCATGCACCTGCTGAAGGACATTTGGATTGTTTCCAGCTTTTCACTATTATGAATAAAGCTGCTATGAAGGTTTATCTGTGTACAAATGACTTGGGCATATACCTAGAAGAGGTATTTCTGGGCTGCACAGTTAGTGTATGTTTTCCCCAGGGGTTGTACCACTCACTTCCCATCCAACGTGTAAGCAGCCCAGGTGCCTCTCTATCTTCCCCAGGACACGTGGTATTGTCAGTCTTTCTAATGGCAGCCATAATGGTGGGCGTGGGAGCAGCACCTTGTGATGGTAATCTGTGTTTCTCTGATGACTAATGATATTTTTTTTTTCCTGTGCTTACAGCTATTTTCGTATCTTCTCTTGTGAAGTCTTTTTCAAACCTTTTGTCACACTCTATCGCACAGGCTGGAATACAGCAGGACGATTTCAGCTCACTGCAACCTCCGCCTCCCAGGTTCAAGCTATCCTCCTGCCTCAGCCTCCCGATTAGCTGTGACTACAGGTGCTTGCCACCACGCCTGGCTAATTCTTTTATTTTCTGTAGAGATGGGGTTTCACCATGTTGGCCAGGCTGGTCTCGAACTCTTGGCCTCAGGTGATCTGCCTGCCTCGGCCTCCCAGAGTGCTGGGATTCCAGTGACCTGTGCCCTGCTCAGCCTTTTCATTTTCTTACCAGTATCTTGAGCAAACGTTTCTAATTTTGATAAAGTCCAGTTTATAAATTTTGTTCATTTTATTGATTGATTTACAAAAATGGAATCTATAGTATACAGCATGACTTGTTTGTTTGTTTGTAGATGGAGTTTCATTCTTGCCGCCCAGGCTGGAGTGCAGTGGTGCAGTTTTGGCTAACTGCAACCTCTGCCTCCCAGGGTCAAGTAATTCTTCTGTCTCAGCCTCCCGAGTAGCTGGGATTACAGGGGCCTGCCACCACGCCCGGCTAATTTCTGTATTTTTAGTAGAGACAGGGTTTCACCATGTTGGCCAGGCTGGTCTTGAACTCCTGACCTCAGGTGATCCACCTGCCTCAGCCTCTCAAAGTGTGGGATTACAGGTGTGAGCCACTGGGCCTGGCCCATCATGATGTTTCCATACATTGTGGAACGGCTGAATCAAGCAAATTCACTTGTGTATTACTTCACATTCTTAGCATTTTTTTGTGATGAAAACACAAAATTGATTTTTAGAAATCTTCAACTGTACATTGTTATTAATCAGAGTCACCCTGAGGTACATAGATCTCTTAAACTTTTTTTTGTCTCAATTTTTTCCTGTGTGATTTGTGTCTCGTCTAAGAAATATTTGCCTAACCTGAGGTTGTGAAGGTGTTCTTGTGTTTTTCCCCTAGTAGTTCTATCACTGCGTTGTAACCATTTTTTTTTCTTTTTTCTTTTTGAGACAGGATCTCACTCTGACACTCAGGCTGGAGTGCAGTGGGGTGATCTTGGCTCACTGCAGCCTAACTTCCCAGACTAAAGTGATACAGGCATGCACTACCACACCTGGTTAATTTTTATATTTTTGGTAGAGACAGTGTTTCTTTATGCTGCCCAGACTGGTCTTGAACTCTAAGCTCAAGTGATCCTCCTGCCTCAGCCTCCCAAAGCGCTGAAATTATAGGCTTGAGCCACCGTGCCTGGCCTATCTTTGTAACTTTTGTGTTTAGGTCCACAGAAAGTTTTGAGCAAAGAACTACCATGATCGGACTTACACAGATGCCCCTGGCATCCCTCTGCTGTGCTGAGCCTGTGGCAGGCCCGAAGGCAGACTTCAGGACACCGGTCAGGAGACCTTTCCACCCGTCCCGGCTTGGACCAGCCTGGGCAGAGTACAGCTGGGAGTAGAGGGCACATCTTGGAAATGTTTATCAGCCAGTTTTCTGGTGTAAGTCCTTCCTCCCTCCTTGCTGAATAATCATCAACTTTATGAAGTTATTTCCTTTCTCTGAAGACTCAAGTGCTTGCGGCTTCACATGAGGCCATGTGTACGTACACAATTGTCTTGAGCCTTGAGCAATGTTTGCTATGTATTTTAACTTTTCACTGTTTTAAAGGAAATAGCTGGTTTTAAGTTTTAATCCACAGACTGTCATTCTTCAGGGATGGCAGCCCCAAACACAACATGACAACTCATCTACTCACCCATGAAAGATTAAAAAATGGATCCCAACGTATTTCATCTTATGCTCTGCGTCACTTCTGCTCGGACTCATAAATCCACGTCTCTTTGCTTTGGCCACTTCAACTCATATCCAATCCTTTCTTTAATTCATGATTTATTGCTGTAAGGTAGCTCTTTTGCCAGATTTATAAACTCACTGTTCTTCATATAATACCTACTTTGTACACTAGGCAACAAGACAGTTAATTTATTGTCTATGACTTGTTACCTTGAAAAATGACATCAATGCAAAGTGATTGCCTTTTAGCCTCTGTAGCCAATAAACTCATTTTATTTTTTTTTGGAGAGGATGATGTGAGGTCATAGGATCATATATATAATCAGTGAGCAGAATGAGAAGGAGCGAGTTGAAAGCTCTCTACAACAGAAGCCAAGAAGGAAGACGTCCATCTCGTAGCAATCATGTATAAGCTGGCCTCCTGCTGTTTGCTTTTCATAGGATTCTTAAATCCTCTCTTATCTCTTCCTCTCCTTGACTCCGGGGAAGTATCCCTTCAACTCTCAGGTAAGATTTTTTTTTTTCCCTTATGTTAGTCTTGAAAGAGCTTTTACCAGTCTTGAATTCAATGTTAGAGATAAGAATGGGATTCCTGTTCAAAGGAGTCTCGAGTCTTGTTCTATCAATAGTCCCAGCTTTGAAAAGAATATTAAAGGATCCTTACAGCACATTTTAGATGTAGTAATGGATACAGTTTTTTTTTTTCTCTCTCTACAATGTAAAAGGAGAAGAGGAGAATTGCTTGTTTCATGTTACCTCTGTAGTTGAAACTCTTGTTTTGGGCGATATATATATTTTTCCAATTTTAAAAATTGCACCAAATTTAAAACATCATTACTTTTAGTTTTTACTTTAAACAAATTGGTTGAATGTAGCACTGGTTGTTCTAATTGCAGATTAATAATGGATTTGTTTCACCTTATGTTTAAAAAATCTGATATGTGTTCTATGAAACAAAAATGTTTACTAAAGACAAACTGGGGAGCTAGGGAGTTCACAGCCTTCCGAGTATATTGATCATTTCCTTTTGATTTATGTTAATTCAGTTTAAGTCTAAGTTGAGTTAAAGAAATACATATCAGTCAGGTAGGTTCTCATTTTGCCATTATCTTTCCATTTAGTTTAAGAAATGAGAAGGCTAATGCTTGGGGATTAGGTTCCATCAAAAACTTAACTAGATTTAATCTTATCTTTAATCTTGAATACTTCTAGGCTTTTTTTAAATAAAGAAAAAAAAATCCTCTTCTAAGCCAAGGATTTTATAGTTTCTAGTCTCTAAAAGTTCACCCAAGCAGCTTTCTGATGATCGTCAAGCACTGTCAGCAGGCGCTGTCAACCAACTTCCCGAGTCACTGAGATGATCACTGACTGTCCTCTTAACAGTTAAACACAGGCATTAACTTTACAGAATCTCTCTTTACAAAGAAACAGCACACATCTCAAGATGAAATAAAAAAAGGAAATACTCAGTTACTACTGTCATCTTAAAAACTTTACAAATAATTTAAGAAACTTAGCTGAAATGAGTGTAGCATCTCACACAAATTCGAAACAAGTGGCAGCTTATCTCAGAATTTGTTCTCATTGATTTCTCCAGAAATGAGCTTTCCTGTCAGCATTTATAGATGATCAAATTTTATAGATTTTTATTAACAGTCTTCAGAAGTGTTGTGAATGTGCTCAGATGCCTTTATGATGATCTGCTCACTGCCCTCCAATCAAGGTTGCAGCTATTTGTAAGCCTGCGGCATGCCGGTGCCACACATGGCCTCCCACCCTGACTCCCACAGCCTCGAATTGCAACACAGCAGCAGGTCAGCATTTACCACGCCTCACACGCACTTCGTTCAGCACACTCCGGAGTGCCCTTTCCACACACCTTAAGCACACTTACCATGCATTCCATATGCCATCTGGTCGACCACATTTCACATAGGAAACGCCACAATCACGTTCCTTACCGATGAGTTTGAAGCCGATCCTAAGTATAATAATTGTGTTGAAATCTTGAAGTTTAGTAAGAGAAGAGGTGATACCATCCTACTGGCTTTACAGGAAGGTCGTAAACAATCTTCTTTTTCCTCTCCAATTTCACTGCCCAAATATCTAAAAGCAAAAAGGCAGTAGGCAGCAGTAGTTAAGCAGAAATGAGGGAGAGTCAGACGTTTTGAACCAAAATGGTTTTGAGAGAGGCTGTGGCTCAGCCCTCAGCTCTTACTCAAGGCAATCGAGGGGCTTGGCGCATCACGCGGTCGTCAGATCCACGTCTCCCGGCTTCCCGTTCTGCCGGCTGGCACATGGGCTGGTAGCATTTCCGCCTCTTTTAGAACACCACTGATGACACGTCGTGAACTTAGCGTTGGACGTTTTTCTAGTGTTCATCTCCCTGTCTCTGGTACTCTCCAAAGACACGAGGAACAGACATAACCAACTGGATGAACTGAATTGTTAAGTCTCTGTTTTTCCTCTGTAGCACCTCATGAAGATGCGCCGTTAACTCCGGAGGAGCTAGAAAGAGCTTCTCTTCTGCAGATACTGCCAGAGATGCTGCTGGGTGCAGAAAGAGGGGATAGTCTCAGGAAAGCAGGTAAATGCTTCTCATGTTTATAGCATGTCTGATTTAATTGCTACTGAACTTACCGTCTGTCCTCATCTAGAAGAGGTAGAGCCCTATTTTGGAATATAAAGATGAACTATATAAAATAAGTAATTACCGATACTCTCCCCTCCCGGCCTGTGCAACCTTCTTTTCCCCAGCAGCTCCTTGCATGCACCGTGCTCTTTGGTACCTCAGCATTTTGTCTTTCTGTGTGGACTTTTATTTTTGGGGGGTAGGGGTTGATGGTAATTATTCCAGTTTCCAGTGAGTGCAATTTAAAATCCTAGTTCCCCACTTACTGAAACCGTAATCTTTCTGTACTCCAGTTTCTTAATCTATAATCAGGAATGATTAAGTTTCCACCTCAGAAGGTAACTTGTGAAGAGTCAGTGAGTCAAGGCAAGTAAAATGCTCCTTGAGTCACACAGAAAGTCATTAATCAAATGTCAGCTTATTCCCCTATGGCCACATTCCTCCAAGCATGGACACAAATGCTTAAGAAGTTCTGGAAACAAAATTGAGCCTTTTGCTGGGCGCAGTGGCTCACGCCTGTAATCCCAGCACTTTGGGAGGCCAAGGTGGGAGGATCACTTGAAGTCAGGAGTTTAGGACCAGCCTGGCCAACATGGTGAAACCCCATCTCTACTAAAAATACAAGCATCAGGGCCGGGCGCGGTGGCTCACGCCTGTAATCCCAGCACTTTGGAAGGCCGAGGCGGGTGGATCACAAGGTCAGGAGATCGAGACCATCCTGGCGAACACGGTGAAACCCCGTCTCGACTAAAAATACAAAATTAGCCGGGCGTGGTGGCGGGCCAGCTTCTCAGGAGGCTGAGGCAGGAGAATGGCGTGAACCCGGGAGGCGCCGGAGCTTGCAGTGAGCCGAGATCGCACCACTGCACTCCAGCGTGGGCGACAGAGTGAGACTCCGTATCAAAAAAAACAAAAACAAAAACAAAAACAAAAAAACAAAAAAAACCCAAACATCAGCCAGGCATGGTAGTGGGCGCCTGTAATCCTAGCCACTAGGGAGGCTGAGGTAGGAGAACTGCTTGAACCCAGGAAGCAGAGGGTTGCAGTGAGCCAACATCTCACCACTGCACTCCAGTCTGGGCAACAGAGCAAGACTCTGTCTCAAAAAAAAAAAAAAAATTGAGCCTTTTAGTAGGCATTGTTTAATACAGTCCATTAGTTGTATGTTTGATAAGCCACTGCACTGTTAAGTTACTGAGGACAATGCAATGACTTTTGTGAACTCCGGATAAGAACAGGAGTGCCTGTCTGCATTCAAGAAAAGGTTGCTGCAATGTGGAAAAAGACCAGAAACTAGACACAATTTAGTAATATTATTTTGTATATTTTAAAACAAGCATACAAGAGAAGCAACAGATCTGACGAACTGGCTTCAAAACTGTTTTTCAGACTCGAGTACCAACATTTTTAACCCAAGAGGAAATTTGAGAAAGGTAAGTGACTCTATTTATGACTTAGGTTTAAAAAGGCGAACATTCTGTACTGATTTTACAGGACTCTGAATTCATGAACTAGAGAAGTGTTCTTGGTGGAAACCACACCTTAAAATAACTGGCCAGCATGGCCAGGCGCGGTGGCTCACGCCTGTGATCCCAGCACTTTGGAAGGCTGAGACGGGCGGACCACCTGAGGTCAGAAGTTCGAGACTAGCCTGGCCAACATGGTGAAACCCCGTCTCTACTAAAAATACAGAAATTAGCTGGGCTTGGTGGCGCCCGTAATCCCAGCTACTTGGGAGGCTGAGGCAGGAGAAAATCGCTTGAACCTGGGAGGAGAGGTTGCAGTGAGCCGAGATCGTGCCGTCACAATCCAGCCTGGATGATAAGAGTGAGACTTCATATCAAAATAATAATAATAATAGGCCAGCATTATTTCAAAGCATTAATTTTTCCGAATTGTGATTGATATAAGATCTGAATGCAACAGGAACGTACCCAGTGCCTGTTTTGGGTAAATCAAGTAAGTTGTGAAAGAATGAAAAAAATAGGTGAGGTCCCTGCTCTCAAGTCTGGCATCCACTTGTGCTCTCATTCGCTATCTAACATGCGGCCCACTGCCAGCAACACTGGGAGCGCCTGGAAGCGAGTGAGGGATGCAGAATTTTAGGCCCACCTAGGACCTGTGGAAGCAAAATCTGCATCTTAACAAGATCCCCAGGTGATTCACAGGCATGGGAAAGTGTGACGGGCACTGCAAGGTAACACCTAGTGGAAGAAGGCCATGCTCCAGACATTGACATGAACCATATGCAGGAGGCCGGGCGTGGTGGCTCATGAGTCTGTCATCCCAGCACTGTGGGAGACCGAGGTAGGCGGATCGCTTGAGACCAGGAGTTTAAGACCAGCCTGGGCAACATAGCGAAACCCCGTCTCTACAAAAAATACAAAACTTAGCCGGGCGTGGTGGCGTGCACCTGTAATCCCAGCTACTCGGGAGGCTGGTGCAGGAGGATCACTTGAACCTGGGAGGTGGAGGTTGCAGTGAAAGACTGCGCCACTTCACTCCAGCCCAGGGAACAGAGCGAGACTCCGTCTCAAAAAAAAAAAAAAGAAATACAACACAACACAACACAACACAATACAATATAATACACACAATACATACAATACACAGAAGACAATAAATGCATAGAATACGTTACTTTTTATTTATTTTTTGAGAGAGGGTCTCACTCTGTTACCCAGGCTGGAGTGCAGTGGCGTGATCTCGGCTCACTGCAAGATCCACCTCCCAGGTTCAAGCACTTCTAACGCCTCAGCCTCCCAAGAGTAGCTGGGACTACACGAGCCTGCTACCATACTCAGCTAATTTTTGTAGAGATGGGGTTTCACCATGTTGCCCAGGCTGGTCTCAAACTCCTGGGCTCAAGTGATCTGCCTGCCTCAGCCTCCTCAAGTGCTAGGATTACAGGCGTGAGCCACCCGCCTAGCAACTGACATGATTTAAATAGAAGTCAGTCAATGAGGGTTTAGGAAAATTCAGGACAATCACTGAGCTGAACAGACTGGAAGGACACTCATTAGAGGTGGGGAGGTGGGCACAGGAGCCCCACTGGGCCTGCGACACTCTTGTTACAATTACAATCCAGGGAAAAACACAAATACTTTTAAGAAGTCCAATGTCTTGACTCAAGATTCCTTTTTCTTATAGGACTCTTCATTCATTGGTAACTTACCTGTTTTTTTGTTTGGATTGTTTCAGTTTCAGGATTTCTCTGGACAAGATCCTGACATTTTACTGAGTCATCTTTTGGCCAGAATCAGGAAACCATATAAGAAACGTGAGACTCCTGATTGCTTCTGGAAATACTGTGTCTGAAGTGAAATGAGCATCTATTAGTCAGCTCAGAAACACCCATCTTAAAACACAAAAAATAATACAATGCTTGATTTGAAAACAGTGTGGAGAAAAACTAGGCAAACTACACCCTGTTCATTATTACCTGGAAAATAAATCCTCTATGTTTTGCACATATCATGAGTGGTTATTTTCCCTATAAACGTGTCCTGAAAATTTATAATTATTCTTTTCTTCCATTTGCCCTTAGAGAATTCTTTGAAAATTCAGAAGCAAAGCTAATGAATGAACAGAAGCAAACATTAAGAAAAAGTCACGAAAGTTAAACTTCTTTAATGACAAATCATTTAAATAAACTATATTATCTTAGCTATGATGGCCTCTCGACCCTTAAAAAAGACAACATATTACTTAAAAAATAAATCATGGCCAGGCACAGTAGCTCACGCCTGTAATCCTAGCCCTTTGGGAAGCTGAAGTGGGTGGATCACTTGAGACCAGGAGTCTGAGATCATCCTGGGCAACATGATGAAACCCTGTCTCTACCAAAGGTACAAAAATTAGCTGGGCATGGTGGCGGGTGCCTGTAGTCCCAACTCAGGAGGCTGAGGCACGAGAATCGCTTGAACCTTTGGGGCGGAGCTTGCAGTGAGCGGAGATCGCACCACTGCACTCCAGCCTGGGCAACAGAGGAAGACTGTCTAGAACATAAAAAATACAATAAACAAAATAAAATAAATAAAAATAAAACAAAACAAAATAAAAAGAAACCAGTATCTTAGCGTGGAAAAATCTCAAAATTACGGGTGTCTGAGATGAAGGGCGGAAGTGTCTGATGCTCGTTGGTTTCTGAAGTTCGTGGGGGAAGCTCATGCGCTGAGATCCTTTCTCTCGGCTGACCGAAGTCCTAACACTTGACGATTTTAATCTTTTAACATTGAAACTTGTATAATCTCAGTTTCTGTGAGCTCAAGGATCACAGTTTCTCACACTGGGAAAAGCACCTTGATGTCTCTTATAGAGAGAAGAAAGCTGAGGCAAGATTTAAGATTGTGGAAGAAAGAGCCTGGCTTACAAATTTTTAAAAACTGTGTAAGTACCGACTTCTATTCCGTGAATACATCTGTATAAATGTGGTTTATACATGTCTAGAAGATACAGTGTGAACTCCTGAGAGTTCTGTGTGGGTCTCACACAGAACCAGGTTTAGGGGAGGCCTGGACGTTTATGAGAAACTCGTTTCTCTCATTGAGCTCTGACATCCCACCACATTCCAGAGGGGTCTGCATCAACCAAACAGCAACACGCAACTGTGTCAATCTTGTCACTGACCATCACAAGTCTCCTAGAGAGTACTGGTCTCAGAGAGTTTACCCTAAAGACATCAAGAACTTGGCCGGGCGTGGTAGCTCACGCCTGTAATCCCAGCACTTTGGGAGGCCGAGGCAGGCGGATCACAAGGTCAGGAGATTGAGACCATCCTGGCTGACACGGTGAAACCCCATCTCTACTAAAAATACAAAAAAAATTAGCCGGGTGTGGTGGCACGTGCCCTGTAGTCCCAGCTACTCTGGAGGCTGAGGCAGGAGAATGGCGTGAATCTGGGAGGCGGAGCTTGCAGTGAGTCGAGATCGCACCACTGCCCTCCAACCTGGCGACAGAGCGAGACTCTAAAAAACAAACAAACAAAAAAAACGAATAACGAATCTAAGGGAGAGATGTTTTAAACTGCAATGAATGCACAAGCTCAGAAACATGCTAACATTGGGGATAGCTATGATAATACTGTGGCGTGTCTCTCAGTGTTGAAATAAAATCAGTACTAGTTCCCTGGCACAGAAAGTTGACACCATAAAACTGTTCCGTATCAGAGAGAACTTAAAAGCGGAATTCCACTGTTGAATTCTGAAATCCCTACTCATATTAGTGACATCAGGTGATGATTCATATAGACTGGGGCTCTGCCATCAGGTTTCTAGGGTCAGATTCCTACTCCCAGTGCACACCAGCTATGAGTCTCTGACCCAGTTCTTGACTCCCCCTGCCTTAGTTTATTTCTCTGTAAAATGAGGATAATAACAATGCTTATTTCACAGGGCAGTTGTGAGGATTAAATAATTCATGCCAAGCACTTAGACCAGCACCTGTCAGAGTAGTATACACGCAAAGCATACTGAGCCATTTTTCTTCCTGCTCGTTATTATGATTTTTGTTACAGAAAAGAAAGGTGCAAATGGTCTGAAAGGTGTAAGCTTTAAAAAGCTCTGTTGGCTTCAGGATTTTGTTCCCTATTTTAATTTCTAGATTTTGCTGCCACCAGTTACACAGTCAGATCTTGTACACAGGTTCACCCTACAAAATCTGAGAAATTTTGATAACCGAATTTTATAAATTTGGCATTAGAATAAGTATTAAAAATATGTACATTGAAGGGAGGATTAACCCATTTATGCCAGAGGTTGCAAAATTTTTTTTTTTTTTAATGAAAAATCAGACCTTGGTGATGACCCTGAGCAGTAGCATATAAATAACTCCCACAAGTTTAGTGTTCCAATAATGGAACACTAGGTGTAAATGGGCTAAATAAGCCAATACATTTCAAAGTGCCTGCACCTTCATCCTCCACACAGTAGGTGCTCAGACCCACTGGCTAAGGCAAACACAGAATGTGGCTGAGAAAAGCAAGGTTAACTAATATGAGGGTCCCTCAATAGATCATAAGAAACAGTTCTAAATGATACAGAAAACACATTCAAAGATCTGTTGACGTAGGGCCGGACAATTTCTCGCGTTTTACATGCACAGAGTTTATTTGTTGTTTTTACTTAAAAAGATACCCAATTGAAATATTAATGATTACAAACAAATTCAGAGTTAATTATAAATTCAGTTGAAACAAAATTTCAGTTTGGATTAAATTTACACTGTGAATTATAATGAAGTTTCACTCAATTGCAAAATGATTTCCATTCACACAGCATCTTGTTTTTCATAAATCGTGACCTCTGACCAAAGAAAACACAGCTTTTTGGGTAACATTCATGTAAACATTGAAGCCTATAATATACATTTTTATTACTATTTTCAATAGTCATTAATATAAAAAGTTAACAAATCTGAACAACAAAGTTTAAGCTGGGGAGAGCCCCCTCGGGGGGCGGCGGTCAAGCTGCTGAGCCCCCTGCTCACCGCCAGCAGCAGGTGCAACCTGTGAGTGCGTGAACGCGTCCACCCACAGGAGGAGCGCTCCTCATGCTCTGACAGTTCTGCCACAAGCACCAGTTTCAAATCAAACCTAGTATAACATGTACTCCATAAAATGTGTACTAAGGCAAAGAAATAAGCACATTTGGATAATACAAATATCCAGAAACAATGGAAAAGAAAGGCTTCTATTAGAGAACATAAGGCTTAGCATATATGAATGCACAATGATCCTGAGAGCTACAGATACCATTTTTATTTACATTAGCAAAAACTGTATTACTACAGAAGGTCACTGACAGACAATCTACTGGCTGGTTAATTGTTTCAAATTTGATTCTTTATCAAGCAAAAATATCACACAACCTGATCAACACACAAAGGCTTCAGAAATCACTTAACTATCAAGGTGGAGCAGACTATAAGAGCTATTTATAAAACAGGAATATTTGCATGGAACTGCTTAATATTAGAAAATTCCAAGAACTGTCAAAGGCAGCATTTGAAAATAGCTCTGACATCTTAAGATGGAATTACCATCCAGAAAACCACTACTTCGAAAGGAAATCTGAGCTACCGGGATGGTCATCATGGATAAAAAGGTCAATTTTCCTAATCATTATCAGGATGCATTTACAAAAACCTGTAAAACTTCAAAGGAGAAAGAAGTATTTTCCTAAAAAAAACATAAAAAAACCAAAAACCAAAAACAAAAAAGGAAGAAAAAAATAAGTTAGTTTGTTGCAAGTTATATAAAGACAAAAGGTTACTATAACCTTCACTTTCTTCTATTTGGTTTTTCTGATCTGCAGGGGTGTGAATTTCATGTGTCCTTCCAAGTTTAAGAAGGAAGCAGGGACTTCTCTAAAGAGCACCAGAGAGTGAGCTGATTTACCAAGTAAACAATCACACTCACTTCTTAAAAGACACTGTGAATTCTGCAGAATTCACTGTAGACTTCTGAAATCCCTACTCATATTAGTGGTATCAGGAGGTGATTCTCTACTACAAACGCCATAGAAGGCAGTGACTGATGGGGCCTGCAGGGCCCCGTGGGCGAGGACAACTGGGCTGCCTGGATGTTTTCTCCTTTGCAGTCCCCACGACACTTACCCCTGTTCAAGGGCAAACAAAAGGCAGTGCCAATCAGACCTGTGGTAGGGCTAGAGTGACCTCTTTTGTGTAAATTGATTGGAAAGAAAGAGTTAACAGTTAGTTTTGGTAAGAATGAACATTTAAACACAAAAGTATATAAGAATGATACTAGCTTTTACATTACTTGTAAAACTTTTCACAATCATTATTTTAAAAACAAAAACACTGAAAAGGGCAACAGCACTGGTTGAGTAAGAAGCTCTTTCAACATTACACATGCAAATGCTAATGGAAACTCTCACAAGAATTGGCCCATGGTAAGCGGATCGGTTTTTAAGATAAGGCTTTCAGAATTTCACTGGAAGGTGGGAAATCAATAGGAAAGGGATCTACAAGGATGAAGGCCAAAACTCAACCCCCAAAACCTGCTTATCCCAGATATGCTAATGGACAATATGTGCTAATGTGTTGTGAGAAAACCGGAATGTTTTATCTTAATTATGGAGGGGAACGCCAGGTTGAATGAAGCCTAAATGAATGTACTGCATTCATGGAAACCATTATGAAAAGTACACAATCTATAGGTGGGATTTCTTCAAGCACTCTAAGGGGAAAATGACTTACGTAACAGAACAAAATAAATTAGGCTAAGGTTTGGGGCTCATTCTAGCTCTACTTCTAATTATAATTTACTCTGGGTGACATCTGAAATAAAGATACACATACCTCTTTAGAGGCCATCCAATCTCTTTAGCAGACAATTCAACTACAAAAAGAGCCTAACTGGCCATTTTAATGTATCAGGAACAAAGAGAAGTAAGATTTTGTATACAATGTCTGCTTCAAAAAGATTATGTGTATTAAAAAATCAAGAAGAAAAAATCTTAACATTCAATGATAACTTTATGGTCATTTAAAAGTCCAGGAC